TCTTACTACTTTGAGTTGTCATCAGGAATATGCTGCAGCCCTGTTTCAGTTTTCCTTTTTCAGTTTTCCTTTGTCGCCCTATCAACTAAAAGCTTTACGTTTTCCCGAAAATCTGATAAAGAAAGTAGGTTTTTCATACATCGTCATCGAACTTGGGACGTTATCCCACAAGGATGTATTAGTAACTTCAATATGAGGTTATTAATATATCCAGTTAGATGCGTGATAACTCCGTGGTGCTTTAACAGATTAATAATTTTTATTTTTTAAGAATTTAGTGGTCCACGGGCTGCACTCGAAATCAACATCAGATGGACTGTCACTTCGATTTAAAAAAAAATCGTTGATAATGCCTCAGGGCCCATATTAAAAAATCTATTCAATTTAAAAAAAAATCGTTGATAATGCCTCACGGCCTATATTTAAAAAAAATCAGTTCAATTTAAAAAAAAATCGTTGATAATGCCTCACGGCCTATATTTAAAAAAAATCAGTTCAATTTAAAAAAACTCGTTAATAATGCCTCACAGCCTATATTTATACTCGTCCTCAAAGTTCATCATGTCTGTATCCTTTTTTTTTTTGATGTTTGTTGCAAGTATTTGTAGACTACACACTTACCATCACATGGTCATTAAATTCCGTTGTCATATCGATTTCAATAATTATATAATAATTTTAATTTTACAATTTATTTTCCGGCTAATATAATCTTAAAGTCATTGTATCGCGGGGGCTGCGCAAACGACATTTATTTAATTGTACGCAAGAATCTTGTGTTCAATCCCCGCCGCATCAATGACATTATTAAATGTAACTTTAAGTGCCGATATACCACGTGCTTGTAGACGAAGGAAAATATCGTGAGGAAATCTGCATGTTCTAGAAATTAAAAAAAAATATTGGAAAACAGCGCGAAGGACTTTTCATAGTCCTAAATAACTTCTCAGTAATGAGAGGAGACCTGAGCCCAGAAGTAGGATGTTGTAGGCTGTAACTGTGTGAAGATGGATTAATGTGTTTGGGTTAATTTATGATAATCCAAAATCTATTTTCCTTTTTCGTAAAGGAAAAGTTATACTCAAACTTAGATTTCTACTGTATCGTAAAGGTGTTTTACATCTTAATATATATAAATTACGTGTCACGTTGTTTGTCCGCTATGGACTCCTAAACTACTTAACCGAATTTAATCAAATTTGCACACGGTGTGCCGTTTGGTGCAACTTGAGAGATAGGATAGTTTTTTTGCTCATAAGTGACTTTCAATTTTTTTGCGAATTTAAGGATTTTTAACTACCTACCTTCTTATATAAAGGTTCCACTGAAAATCAGCTTTTATAAAGTTTCTTAGTGTTAAACTTCGTGAATTTAACGCTGAGTGGAAACCTTTTGGTGCACTAATAGCATAAAATATTTTTTTTTCTCTTTGTAACTAAATTACTGTGTTTACGTCTTTTATGTGTTTTTTACGTCTGTGTACCAAATAAATATTTTTCTTTTTTTCTTTCATTCTTAATGGGACATGACAAAGGGACGTCGAAAAGGGCAGAACAACGTCTGTCTGGCAAGCTAGTTAATTATAATTTTCGTATGGATATATGTTTAAACCTGAGAAAATTATTTTTCATACATACAAATACTAATTCCGTGCGGGATTCAAACCCGCGGTCTACAAAACGTTTCGTTACTGCGCATTCGTTTTCGTCCAGTACAATCATAAAAAGTTGTTGTGTAATAACAAGTTGAACTTAGTTATGGGTATCATTTTCGTCAATAGCTGTGAACTTCAACGGTATATTAATGAAAGGGGAACACCATTAAAATATAAAAAAAATCTAAAGAAATACTCATTTGCTTGGTGGGTTTTTGTGAAAGTAACCTCATATCTTTTAATTTTACTACGTTTGAAATTTCGTATAAAGCTATGTTTTACATTAAAAAAACCTAAATTGTTTACCGTTTCTCCTTTAGACTACCATATAACGTGCGAGCTCAAAGCATATAAGTCAAAACGGGTTTCATTAAAGCCGGACTAGTTATTTATACCTGGTAAAAGATGACCTATTTACGCTACTCCGGTACCCTGAAAAAACGTAGCTCTTGTTTATTTCGTGTACGTTGTAAAGCATTCTAAAACAGTTTTCAGTTATGTGTGTAGCGTGTAAACTTTTAGTTGATATTATTTTACTAGATACGATATAATGGCATAAAGAATTGTGTAGTGGTAGTGTAAGAATATCTACCACCAAATATCGTTCCATGGGTGTTGTAGAGGCGACAGAAACTAAAACAAAATAACTTAAAAAACGTTTGACAAGCGTGTCAACTATGGCGAAATCTCCCCCACTAGTCAATCTAAGAGGCCTATGTTCAGCAGGGGATGTTTTTGGGCTGCACTGCATGGAAAGAACGGACTGCATAAGAGAACCCGTCACCCCATTTCATCTCGAAAATGTAAGAGATAATTATTGTAACTTTTTAAACCATCTAGTTGTCTCGCTGACCGTGGATGATCCAGACAGGCGAGAGGAAGCATTGACATGGGTGCAAGGGTGCAAGATATCTGATACTGCAAACGTCAATTCACATGCTTGACGATTAGGGCAACAATGGGAGAGGTCCATGTTGAAGAGAATTCTACGGGCTGATGATGATGATGATGACTATGTTTTCCACCTGATGATAAGTGGATACTGTGGCCCACACACATACAGATATTTATCCTCGATTAAGAATCAAAATGCAAATACTATGTCATCCCTGAGAAATAAGGTGGAATGCCTCGTATCCAGTAAAAAAGGTCTCCGCTTCTCTACACTCACATACAAAACACAGTAGCGTTAAACTGCTGTTTAACACTAGTATTCTGTGAGAGCGTTGTCTTTCTTCGACCGACCCATTCGTGCTAAAACCATTATATAACTGCAGACTGACTCAATTACGTTTAAAATTACTATTAACTTAGAGGATGTAAGGCTATTTTACTTCTAGGTGTCTGAGTTAGTACCATTTACTGACCTATATATTTATTTTAAACTTGCTGTAATCATTGCTCTGTTTCAATTTAAAGCAGTAAAGAGCCAAAAGACTAAGGGATAACAACCCAATTGTAGACTTTTTTGGCTTAGATTTTGTATTTGTGGACTGTAGTGACTTCTTACCATCAGGTAAGTCGCGGTTAATCAGTAAGGAACGGTTAGATTGTTTGTTTTTTTAAACAAATTAGGGTGACAAACGTGCCGACTGTCCAACAGATGGTAAGTGGATACTGTACCCTAAGGACACGTTTATTTATCCTCGACCCACAATGAAAATGCAGATAGATTATAATCCGTGAGAGAGCGAAAGAGAAAGAGACGTAATTATTTCATTAAGTTCCTACGGTTTCGGTTTAATTTTAAATATAAACAACGTCGAGTCTCGTGACGTTATGTTCAGATATATGGTTTCCATTCATTTTAAAAGTTTTATATTAGCGTTACCATTATTAATAACGAAACTTCTCCAGACCGAATTTCGATCACGATGGCCAGTCTTGACGTAGAATAGCAATCATGTCCGCAATCACAGGTGAGCTTTCTCTCACTCTTATAGCCCGAAGAGTCTGTAATCCGACACGACGTGAAAGATAACAGGTGCAGGACCAATGGTTTTACGTGGGTGAATTAACGCTAACTTTCTAACATCAAGCTACTGAGAATTTATTAACAAAAAGATCCAATAAATGCGACTGCAGATCATGAGGTCCCAGATTCAAACCATGAGGCGGGCCAAAAAATCAGTTTTGCTGTCAAGAAATTTTCAGTAGCAGCCTAGAGCCAGGAGGTTGGCAACGTTTCACCCCCGTGCCTCCGAAAGCATGTCGATTGTAGGGAGTAACCGTCCCATTAGACTATGAGAGTAAGGGAATAAAAAGTGCACCTGTTTTTGCGCATACACTCGGACACTATAATCCTGTACTTCGTAGATGTTTAGTCTCCCTTGAGACTGGCCGGCGAGACTGAAATTCAAATTATTTGTATGAAAGAAGTTGGCTTAGCCTGGAATTAGATGGATAGATGAATAAACTATAAATAATATTGAGGGTTACAAAGATTGTATCCAAAGTCCTATAATAATAACAGTCAAAACAACTCAACCGCGAGACAACGGGTGAACGTGATAGCTAAAATAAAGACAGTCTACACTTACGACTATCTTTCTCGAAGGATGCAATCAAGAGGCGATGTGTGCACATCCGAAGCGTCCTCACGACCAATTAGCCTCGACATCTCGCCGCGTAAATTTTATCCAACTGCTCCGCTCTGCACTATAACGATCTTAATGGGGATGACGAATATTAGGTACGACCGCGAATACTTGTTGAAAAACTACTCACGGAGCCAATTAATAGCATCACCTTTATTTAGTTCTTAGGGTGTTCAGCGAGAGTTCTTCGATGTCATCTGTTATAGTGATCCTACAGTAAAATAATAATTTTGTATGAAAACGAACTTACATAATGATTTCTTAAATTTACGCGAACACTACACATTGAATAAAACTATTATTTACGGATTTTATCGCGTTTAATTATTTTAGTTTATTTTTATTATTATACCAAATGTATGACCAATATATGACCAAAACAAAGATTCAATTTTGAAATGCAATACTGCGGAAGCTGTGTTAAAAATATTAGATGGACATTTTAATTTAAACCTAATGTTACAGTGGAAACATTTTTTACAATGAGATCATAACTATGTTTTTGACTTGCAGAAATTGGCGCAAACGTGCGAATTCGGGGCTTTAAACGACGGTCTTATAAAAGATAGGCCGATATGTGACGTATCCAAATCAGCTAGTCGGGAACGGCTACTAAGGAAGGACGATCTTACTTTAAGTAAAGCATTAGAAATGTCGAGTCGCAATAGTATTGAGGGTGTATGCGGATAACATTAAACAGGAGCAGTTATCAGCATGTTTCATCAATAATAATCAAGCGGTCGAAAATGATGAGAATGTTTGGAGTGTGCGGCACCGGATGGATTCGAAGAGAGGATATCGCGGCCAGGCCAGGTGGCAGGTGGCGTAAGCGAGGACGCGCGCAGAGGCGGACGCGGCGTACGCGGCGGCGCAACCCGCACGGCCCAGCGCCCGTCGCCGCGCGCTCGTGGCGAGCGTGCCTCCACGGGTTCGACGCCTTGGATGAAGCGATGTAGAATTGTACATAAAAAAGTTTGAGTGTCCCGCGTATGCCAAGCAGTGTCTAAGATGTTCGAAAATGAACCACTTTGCCAGAGTATGTAGTGCTAATGTATTCAATGTCGAGGAATCTGATGAGCAGGTAATACATACTGTAAAATAGAGTAATGAGTGGAATGTTAACCTTATGATAAATAACAAGTCTGTCAACTTTAAATTAGATACTGGGGTAGATCTTAATATATAGCCATTGTATTATTTGCCACAAATTGGGGTCTCGGATAAAGATTTGCTGAAAAAAATACCAAGTTATCTGGCTACTCAGGTACCGCCATAAAAGTAGTAGGAAAAATCACACACACAATTTAATATAGCAGATGTTAAGTCTATGCCGGTCTTGGGCAGGTTTGCGTGCAGTGAGTTGGATATGGTGAGGAGTGTGACGTCGATACAAGAGGATAGCGGAGTACCCTCATTTTAGGGCAGAATGACGACGTTTTTCAGGGTATAGGGTGCTTACCGGGGGAAATACAGAATAAAATTAAATGAAAATGTTTCACCGGTTGTTCACGCTCCTAGGAAATTACCGTTCGCGATAAGAGATAACAAATTGGAAGAGATGGAGAAACAAGGAGTTATAGCCAAAGTAGAAAGCCCGTGGGATTGGGTAAGCAGCATAACTATTGTCAAAAAAGCTAACGGAGACATACATATTTGTCTTGATCCGAAGGAATAAGTTAAGTAATTAATTACTTTAATTTGTGCATAAATCTTTCTATTTCAAAATAGTTGTTTTACTTAGGCTTGATGTGGAAAACACATACAACATTTTTGGATAACATTTTCGCTATTGACATATATTCTATTCTTATTACAAAAACAAGTTCATAACTAGTCTAAAATTTAAACTCGCGATACCATCCATAGCATTTGGATGATTGGCGGTCCGCCACTGTACGATTTACATGAAATTTTCTTTCTCGTAACTTCCTTATGGAATCGGCTACTCTCAGCGATTTTTCCGGACCAATACGACTTGTTGACCTTCAAGAAAAGAGTCTACTCTTTTTAAAAGACCAGTAACGCATCTACAATTCCACTGGTGTTATAGTTGTTCATAGTTGATGGTCGTTACTTAGCATCAAGTGAGCCGCATGCCATTTTGCTCTTTCTTATATATATAAAAAAATAGAATCCCAAGAAGTTACTCAGAGTAACTCAGTTAATCAGAGTTAGAACAACTGTAAAAGGAGCCCTAACATCTATTAAAAACAATTACAGGTACAATTTAACCTCTTATTCGTTTCTATGTTATCGCAAGCAAAGACTCAGTTCAGATTTAACTTGAGATTTCAGCTTTGAAACCGTAACGAGGGTTATAATAACAATGACATAATCCTTAAATTCATCGATCGTATGTCTCAAATTACAATGTTTCAAATTTCTTTTTAAATAGTAGTTGTAGCTCGAATGGGTTGGCTAAACTGGGGAAGGACCACGCTCTAACAGAATATAATAATAGGAGTTTAATGCTGCTGTGTCTCGTATGGTGTGTGTATAGAACCGGAAGCCCTTTTTACTGAATGTGAGGCTTTCTATCTTATTAGTCCTCAGGGGTGGCAACGCATCTTAATTTCGATTCTTAATTAAGGATAGATGTAGATGTGATCTATAAGCCGCAACATCCACTTACCATCAGGTGCACTGTGTGCTCGATTGTTACCCTTATTCTCTAAAAAAGCTTCAGTTACGCAAAAACTAACTAAACTTCGCTCGCGTCTCAAACTAACAGCGTCTTCGCTCGCGTCTCAAACTAGCAGCTTCTTCGCTCGCGTCTAAAGCTGCGTTTGCCATCTCACCTGCCAAGCGTGGCAACTATGGCAAACATACCCCCAATGAGATAGTATATAAGAGAACAATAGAAGTAACGATAAAGGTCCAAGTAAATATAATAAAACTTATTTTACGAATTTCATTCCATTTAAGTTATCTTATGTACTCGTAGGATTCCGAATGTTTATAGCGCTCTTCGCATCTCTGCGCAAATACCAAGGATCGTGGATTTGAATCCTTCACGGATCAAGTTTATGTAAAGCCTTTATGTTTCGAATCTGAATATAATTCTTTGTGTAAATTATGTGTTTTGTAAACTGCCTTCACGGTAAAGGAGAGATCATGGAGATATTTAACTGCCTTACTTTTGTCTCCTGATTTTTATACTTATTACATGACACTAAACTACTGGGCCGTGTAGTGGTGGTGTTAGAATATCTACTACTCCATATCATCTCGTGGGTGTCGTAAGAGGCGACAGAGGGAAACTGAGACAGGAGATGGGTAGCAGCATCTTCCTGATAACAACTCAAAGTAATAAATAACTGCCGTTGATAACCCGCATGTCAAGTATGACAACTATGGCAAAATCTCCCCTGTATAGCATGGGGGAGCCCCATGTTCAGAAGTGGTAGCTGTAGTGATAAACTATAAAGCTCATTATTAATGAGGTATTGTTTTTTATTATAGATTAATATACTGATATTAGTGATGCGAAAGGAGAAGAAATTACTTATTCACGTGTTGATTTATAGATAGTAAATAACGATTGCCAGCGAGTCATCAAGTGTAACCATTACCTTGTTTAATTTTAAAATTGAAAATAGGTTATCTGTGGGCTACAGTTACCATAACTTTTATACAACATCGAAATAAAAAAATAAAAACTTACTTTTAAGCAGCCGTAAAATTTACAGATATTATTTTTTTTATATAAATTAAAAAAGGGTGATAAGCACATAGTCTACTGAAGCCCATAAATATCTACATTTATCCTCAATTAAGAATGAAAATGCAAATGCATTTCTACCCCTGAGTATTAATAACATTGAATGCCTCGTTTCCAGTTAAAAGGATCTTCAGTTCTCTACACAATTTTCAAATTCTCACCATACAATATACAGCAGTATTAAGGTCATATTTTACACTGGTACGTCGGGCCAATCCATTTGACCTACAAATACAATAATATAAATACAACTACTATAATATAGCTGCAACGTGGCTCTATTACCACGTATATTTTTGTCTAATTGTAATATTTAAAATATACAACCGATTTTTTTATTTATTTGTACATAAATAATTTCAAATTTATTTTTAGGCAATTATTACTTATTACGTATCTACTTCAGATGCCCCAAGTATATAATAAAAAATATTTTATACCTGAATTTAACATAAACATACAAACATTATAATAACGACACAAAAAATACCTAATCAAACTTAACAAGATACCTTGTAAAGGACTTTATTCAAGGATCAGGCGTTCCCTTATTCCCGAAATTTTAATTTAACATATCAAATTTCTGCTCATTTCGTTCCATAAACGTAATCTCATATTATTCCCTTTTTGAGAATTGGTTTGACGAAAATTACCTCAATGCGTAAGTCACATCTGATTGGATAGGGTGCCTTTCTATACGTTGCATAACCGACATCGTTTCCTTTATTAATACTTGCTAATATTAGGGTAGGTAGGTTAATTTCTTTGAGATGTCCCCTGGCTACTATTACGCAACTTTTCTATCTTATTGAATTGACGTGAACTATACGTCTAACCTTATTACTTAAGGAGATAATAAACTTAATAGCAATATCACTTTCCCGGGTATATTTAGATAGACTTTAATGATCGTTATCATCATCATTATCAAAGTCATCATTTAAACCTATAAAAAGTCTACCGCTAAACACTAAAACTTTTTACATGGTAGAACCACGCTACAGCTATATTGTGGTTGCAGCAGGAAGGGGTCGGCTCGACCGGGGCAGGACCACACTCACACATAATACCAGCATAAAATAGCAGCTTAATGCTGCTGTTTCGTATGATGAGCGTAGAGAACGGAGACCCTTTTTACTGGAAACGACGAATTCCATCTCAGTCCTCAGGGGCAACGCATCTGCATTTTGATTTTTAATTAAAGGTAAATATAGACGTCTATGAGCCACAGTATCCACTTACCATCAGGTGGACTGCGTGCTCGTTTGTCACCCTTATTCTATAAATGAAACATAGCCCAGAGTGGTAAACATAGTGTGGATATATTCCATATTTGACAGGCTTTGTAGATTTGGCAGAGTTGGCAACCGCAGCGATTCTGTTATTTAAGCTTTTATAAAGAGTATGAGTACTCTGAGTATGCCCATCTCCTGTTCCAGTTCTCTTCTGCCGCCTCTTTCGGAACTAATGCTATTATTACGGGATAATGTTGTGAAACAGTGAGTTATTTATTTATTTATTATTACGGGATAATGTTGTGAAACAGTGAGTTATTTATTTATTTATTTATTATTACGGGATAATGTTGTGAAACAGTGAGTTATTTATTTATTTATTATTACGGGATAATGTTGTGAAACAGTGAGTTATTTATTTACTATTACGGGATAATGTTATGTAACAGTGAGTTATTTATTTATTAAAACATCATACGACATGTAAAGGCGGACTCTTACGCAGCCACTAGGATACAAGTTGTTTTAGAATAAACTATTGGGAAATTAGTATCTAATTGTCAAATACCTTAAGTCAAAGTGACTGAGACGTCACGAGGCTTAACGACATCTCAAAATTGAGTAGAGTTTGAGTATTTAGGCATAAATCACCTAATCGTTAAATTATAATCAGCGTGTTGTCAAACTGGAGCCCTAAATCAAGCAAAAGAAAACACTATATACAAAATACAAGCAAAAAAAAAACACATTATGTAATACACAAAAGCGATGTTACTGCTATGCTATTATTCAACATAGTTTAGAGTAACGTGTGGCACGAAATAAAGGTAATCTAATTAAACAGACAGCGGATTAATGGAGTGACAATAATCTTATGACATCACGTCTGATAGGGCTGGGGATAATCCGGAATTTAATCAGTAAAATCAGCCGTGGGGAGCTTACAAAAATGACATCTGAGAGGGACGTTTGCTCGGCAGAAAATCGATTACTTATTAAT